GCGTAATACTACTCTTCTCTTATATATATATATATATATATATATATATTTCTCATACCAAAACTTAAATCTGCTATTCAGAGAAACGTACTATTACCGTCAAGATTAAATGGCACAACTGAATCACGAATGTTCGCCAGTGCGCTTTCATTATTATCGACTAGATCAATGTACACATTGAAAATTCCTTCTGAATCCTTTGATTTGATAATAATCTCGTATTCGCCACCTTTTTCCAGTTGCTACATAACCGTAATGATTAATCAATAACATAGCAGATTTTAATAAATTATGATTCAAATCCAATGAAAACCCATTCCTATCAGCTATCAGAAAGATGAAAGAAACCTGAATGAAAGGAGAATTAACTAATTCAAGCCTGAATTACCTGAAAGATATTGAAGGATACAAGTTGTATTACCTGCAAACGAATTCCATTTGCACATTTCTCAAGTCGGCAATGAAGCAAAGCTACCGGTAAGTATAGGATTTTATCTCTCTGAAATTTAACAATCTGCTGTACCAGGATATCAAGACAGGATAAGATAACTGTCAAGGCTGTCTCTGGTCATTAATGCATCCTTAATGTCAACAAAACGGTACAACACTCGCTCATGACCTCAGTCCTCCAGCTCTGCTTTCTATGCTGATCTCTCCTTCTGAAAATCAAATACCATTTTTACTTCATCCTAATGCATAACTGACCATTTCTAAACCGGGCAGAGATAATGTACAACAGTAAACGAAGTTTACCAGCTTATAAGGTAATATGACCAGCAGATCACGCTCCCAAAAAAAAGAATAACATTAAGAGGACCTTTACCATATGATACCTTATTGGCGAACAATTCAATTTACCGAAATTTGGTTTGAACAATAACAAATCTAATTAAACTTCTAATCACTAATATACAAAAATAACAGTCTCAACTTTTCGAATGCTGTGGGAGGCACAATGTTTACACAGGATCAGATCCAGTCATTTTTACACGCTTCAATGTTCTACCTATTTCCGATATGTCATTTTCAAATAAACTTATTCTAAACAAAGAGAAGTGCAACTAACTTTGTTAATTACCGATATGTCAAATAAATCACTACATTTGACCCATCTGTAAAAACCATAGTCGACCAAATACACGGAAAATCTAGAATTCACTCGTAAAAAAATGTTAATAACCAAAATGAAAGTGTTGAATGGAAATGTGATTTGAACGATCAAGGCAGCAAAAGTGGGGGACGCCGCCAATCCGATATGAGAGCGATATTAGGGGGTAAATTAAAATTATAATATAATTGTCGTCATCTTCACGGATCGAATCATCTTCACGGATCGAATCCACAGACTGGTAGATTCGCCATGCATTTAATTAGATGAAGCAAATTCCAAAAACAGACCTGTGCGTATTATTTGAAAATTTGATGATTTCAGCACGACATAAGGAGCGACAACCACTGTCAACACTCACTCTGACCAAGCAACCCACTCCGCTTAACCCGTGAATCAATGACATATCGAACTGAGGGCAAGCACTGTAGCGCTGTCGTCCTTCATGAAGAACCTATTAAGAAAGCAAGAAGGTTCCGTGAAAAGAGAAAGTAGTACCGAATTTTTGCAAGAAACCTTGTGCTGTACTTACTCTTTCGACAGTTGTGAAAATATTTGGTTCGAAAGCCCAAAAAGTGTCAACTGACGATGAATCAATCTTATCAAAACGAATTCGCATTGTACGGGGATAAATATGAGGAACATATTCTTTAAAAGCATGTTGTTTGTATGGCACCTGCAAAAAAAAATATTTCTTATAACGTTAAGCTTCTAACCTCAAATTCTGAGCTTTAGCAGAATCTTGTTGAGATGCCATCTTTTTGTTGGGACAGTTTAAACAATAATTCATAATTTTGCGGGATGATAATAATCATTAGTCGACAAAAATTACTTATTTCCAGAATGATCAAATACATTTCTTAATTACCCTCAGTAAATAAGCGTAAAAAAAGAAATGGAAAGTTGGAATAGCTGGACATACCTCAGATCTCGACACTACAGCGTATTTATCATCCATCTCTTCTAAATAAAAAATACTATTAGGTATCATGACAATTCATGATATCTCTATAGAATGTAAGGAATTTACAGAGATATTATTAATTGTTGGAAAACTCTATAGATTGTAGGAACCCTAAGAAAACAGAAAATGAGTTTTAAAAAAATAGCGCACCGTGATCACAATTAAACTTAGCGCCATGGTTGCGTGGATTAAAAGGTACACTGTTTTCATTGACCGCTGAATTCTCATCAACTTGCTGAAAAGCACAAAATCATTAAGCAAAAGACGCTTCAATTCCGAAAAAAAAACTTATTATGCAAAAAACGAGTCAAACTTATTATTTATATTATCTCCTTACATTATTATTCCATTCGTCTGCAAAACGGCTGTCAGTGAAAGTGTACGCTCCATTCCCATATACATCCATCACACGGCTATACTCTACAATACATAATTTAAGCATAATTCTTACGGAAACATCGATCTTTTCCACTTGAAACTGTTGCATTTCCTATCTTATAGTAATCATGTTAACACTGCTAATGGCAAAGTATAAAAACTAAGCAATGAAAGAGAAAAAAAATTAATCACAAAGAATAGCAGCGACTTATTTCAGCCAACATGATTTGACAGAATGATTTGAAATTTTTGGTGAGAAAATATGAAAAGCCATCGGTTTTTCTCTTTATATTCCTCTCTTTACCCAAATCACCCTGATCAGGGTTAAAAACTTGTGCTCAGATCTAGGAAAATACTGTTATGACCGCAGCTCATGTTTCAAGAACTTCAAGAGTAACCTTCTCGTTCATATTTTCCACCACTATGACCAAAAATATTTCTGCGGCATGCAATCGAGTCACAACGGTAACGGAAGGGTCTTACGTACTCTGACAGTGATGACACGTTGACATTCGGCTGTGGCACATCTGTCAATTGCTGCTTTATCAACAAAAAAACGACCAGTAGCAAAAAATTAATGCACAAACATACCCTCCATTACGAATTTTGAATATTCTTGTCCTTCTGCTGGTACCAAACTGATATCTTTTAATTCCGCATATCCACCGTTTCCATAAGAAATCAGTAAACGACCTTTAACACAAAGTCCCACAGATGGGATCACGACCAAATTACCTGCAAATTGGAATTTGGAACACCGTCTCAAAATAATTAAGATTATATGAATGAGTTTCAATTATTAACAATAAAGGCAGGGAATAGATCTAGTTGATTGTTTTTAACATCAAGAAAATCAAACCATTAATGCAGCGACATTCACGCCCGCTAATTTGTGCTGCAACTTCTCTCTGCTCTTCACCAGCATCGACAACCAAAATAGGACACATACAATCGGTGTCAATTTTTTGCTCGCGAAGTTGATGGAAATAATGCATTTCGTTCCACTTCAACGTCGATTCCCTTATCAATTAAACGAACCTTGAATAGATGTAACATGTCTTGCAATTGTCGCTTTTTCAAGCTTCATGAATACGTGGCAAAGTTAAGGCAAAAAAAAAAGATTATTACGTCATGTCGGAATTCTCAAATGATACTGAAAGGTTTTTTGCTACTTAAAAATCCATATAGACTGTCTGTATTCTTCCTTTCTCGAAAAATTTTTCATGGAAATAAAAAAAAATACCGGTATTTACTGGCAAAAAAAAATATCGAAATACCGGCATTAAGCCTTCATATTTCATTTTTTATAGCAACCTTTTCGACAAAACTTAACAGTGCAATTAACCTTTGCCAATCTTTCGTCTTCAGAAATATTTTTTGCAGCAACACGTTCCACGCACTGCCCAACACGGATGGTGAATACATTACCTGGAAATATATATAAATAATAAAGAAGTACTCTTCGGAGAATCAATAATATGTGGCTAATGAGTGGCTAAACACTCAAGAGCTTAATTTGTCCTGCTATTTATCAATTCCAAACGTCACTCAAACACTGATAAGAATAGTTTGACCAATTTGACAATCAATTAAAGTTTGCGGAACAGCAAAGCTAGCTATAAGATATTAAAATTATATTTCGAAAATACCGATACCAAAATCATTGTCGTTATTGTTGACATGATTTCCACAATCAAACAAATCCTGTCTTACTCCGACTTCCCCTCCTCCTCGCATTCTGGAATCGTCGCTAATAACATGAGCCACATAAACAATAACTTCCGAGCCTTCACCAGAATCACCGACGTGGCTGATAAAACCGTCAAAATTAACCACTTTTATAAGCTCGTCCGACATCCTTTTTTCAGAGTTTACAGTCCGATGAATCTGCAAAAAATTTCGCTAATTTCTCATACAGATAACAACTATGATTTGACCACAACCACTAAAACAAACAGCAATGAAAATAAAATGATGGAAGAGTCAAAAAGACAGGAATCCCGCATTATGAAGTTCCACTTTCAGAAATCATCTTGCTTTTGTGGGATTATTCTTTACTCAAGAAGAACATTCTGTACATGATTCTACAGTGTGGATGATATACCTTAAATATGTCAAGAATTCGGACAGATAAATTATCCCGGGAGTCATTCGTAAGGGTGCATAAACTGAGATTTGATAAAGTGGAAAGTGTAGACGTGAAAGTATATCATTCCGGAAAAAACTTTCCTTGCAGTCTATCTATTCGTTTTTCTTAAACTATATTCCATACATTTGTGGTGGCAGTCGCTATATCTTTAACGAAGATTTAACACCTTAAGAGTGGGTTTCTTAAGAAAAATAAAAAGTTAACCTTTTCAGCGGGAAGATCAGGGTGAGGTATCAACAATAACTCACATCAGTTATTTCCATGTTTTCAGAAAGGGAAAGTATTCAAAAATGCCTCTCTACAAATTGAGATTTGATAAAGTAGAATGTCCTCTTTCCAAAAATTTCTGTCTCATTTGCTCATTTCATTAACCATTAATACGGTGCAGTATTTCACGTCCAACTTATCACATTACTTGCCTTAATACTTCCTATGATCGACTGAACCACGGTTGGTAAGATTAAAGAGTAGTAAACATCCAGTCACACTATCATTGATAAGTGCTAACGTATGAGCCACGTCATCCCCCAACCAAACTTTGGAGACCGCATAAACCAACTAACCAACCTCCAATATGACTGATTGTAACAATGCATGCAAGACATATTCTCGGCAAGTAAAGATACCATGGCATAAATGCAAACTATTATTATGCAAATTTTTTCGCAGTACGAACAGAAACAGAATTGCAAGTACTCATATGTATGACTGGTACATACGGGTCACGCATCATTTATTACACGCAAAATTATGGCTGTATACGTAGGACTCAGAGGAAGAGATTGCTGTAGACTGTTGGAATGATCGTCTGACCAACTATGAAACAAACTCTGAGACAGAGATCTTCCGTATTCTCGAAGAAAAAAAGGATAAGCAATTCGTTCGAAAAAAGTCATCAACTTGCTTAACCTGATTGTCTTGGTCGATGTGCTTTTTGCTGGCCACCATCATATAATATATTCATATTCGTTTGATCTGTTTCTCCATTTTTCATTTGCTTTCCAATGTAATAATGTGATGACCAATGCAGTCCCTTGGCTATTTCACTGTCATCCTGTGAAGACAGCGAAAGCCAGGGAGGAGAATGTCATTAGTAACATGCCCTCTGTTCATTCCACAACTCTCCCAATGAAACGTTACGGTACAAATCGGACAATATAGTTGTACAAGTAATTCGTTCGATTATCTTACCGCACTATCTAGCATTTATCCCCACTTCATAGCCTAATACCATGAAAGTGTGGGATAATGCGGTAAGTCGGCTAGAAAAGGACTGTGTGATACGGTAGCCAGCCAGAAGACTGTGACAGCAAGTGCGAGGCATGACCGGAGTTATCCATCTCCTTCCCCTTCATTTTCCGCAGCAGTACTACAGGCGCCCAACCTTGCCCATTAATATCAAAAATGCATTCAAGAGGGCTGCAATAGTTGAAAGTTACTAGAAGCGTTAACTTGTGTAGGGTAGCCCCCTTTTTTCAGATTTGAAGCTCTGACATGTTGGATATTTTTGTTTGTTTCCGGTACATCTCGGGACTTTTTTTGCCGGAAATTTTCCTTTTTTTTCTTTTATAGAAACCAATCTGATTGATATTGGACAAGAATGTTTCATTTCGCAGGTGGCTCAACGGAAGGGACGATTCCACATCCAACCAATACGCAAATCTCTAAAGTGCAGGTAATTCTATCATTTCGTGTTTTTTTTTAGTTATTCTTTTGTCATCTGTTAGCCTAACGTCATCAGTTCTTGTCTTTTATCCTTCTACAAGACTTTGAATTTTGAAAATTCACAAAATTTACTTCTGATTCATTTTTCTCTTTTTTTCTTTTTAAAAATTTTGTGAGTGAGATGACATACTGGAAGTCTTTTTAAATTTCCATGTAGTTTACCTTGAATATTTGTTGCCCTAGTGGAGCGTTTAGATAATGTCGAAGAGGGTGGAACATGTCTGCTGAAGTTTATATTAGCTGAGATATCAGTTCTATTTAATGATCACTTGAGGTCAGTGTTTTCGATATCAGCATCCCAGTAAGGGAGATTGTCTGATTTAGCTTTCTCTGTATTTATTATTTATTGTGGCGTCCCCATCTGAACAGTGCCATCATTGCTCATTCGCTTCTTAGATATGCTTCTGCTTAGTTCATTGTTCCACCTCCTTATTTTCAAGATATAGAATGGGTTCCTTCATTTTCACCGAATTTGCGTAGTTTATCGATTTCCATACTTCTGGGATCCTTCCTGTTGCAAAAAACAGTGTTTGTTTTTCATCTCCTCTTCAACTGTTTTTCATTTCAGTTTTCACCGGACGATAATAGCCAATTGCTTGCCGTGTCAAGTTGGGAAGGTACCGTTCGCATTTATCATTTTCCTGCTGGTCCAGTCACTGCACTTGAGAAAAGAGTATATACACATGCTAAGCCCGTTTTGGCATGTACTTTCTTTGTGAGTCATTATACTTTTGATTTTTGACTGGTATGTATTAGTGTTCTGACGTTTAGTAGTTTACCGATGCTTTGAGCAAAGAACGTGTCTTCCAGAATTCCAAGACTTCGTTTTAATTTGTGAAGCCTACACGGTTTAAAATCAAGATTAAGTTCAATTAAAATTCCACTGTCCAATTAAAATCAGTTCAAATTTCATCAGACATCAGACAAATCATTCGCATTTGAAATTTAAATTTAAATTCGAAATTCCGCTGCTAAGTCATGCTTTTGATTAATGATTTTATGTATCAAGTGAAGTCTTTGTGTCTTTCACAGACTAAAAATGATATTGCAAGTGGCGGTCTGGATAACTTAATTAAAACATACAACATGGAAACTGGTATAGAATGTGTTCTGGGGCATCACGAAGCTCCAGTGCGGTGCCTAGAATATTGCAAGGAGCACAATCTGGTAGCATCAGGAGGATGGGATTCTGCGGTAATGGTGAGTGACTATTAAATATGTAGTAGGTATCAAAAAAAAAATCGTAAACTTTTGGTTTGTTGTTAGGCTTTAATCTGAATAGAAGAGACGAAGTGCAAGAAGTTAAAGAGGGTTCGAAATTTATTAAGAAGAAAAATGATCAGTATTATATTGTTCAGTTATGGGATGCACGGTCAAAAAGTTCAGCTGGGTTTGGAAATAATGGGGATAAAGTTTACGCAATGGATGTACGTGGGAATCGGATCCTTGTTGGTACAAAAGATCGTAAAATAATTGTATGGGATGTGCGCAATCTTGGGGAACCTGAGCAGATACGTGATAGTCCACTCAAGGTATTTTTATTGCTTATTTTTGATTCTACTGATTATAGGTACTTTGATTTATTGCCATTGGTAGAAAGGCCATGTATTTTTGTAATTCAGTGCTGAGAAATATTCCCTTGTCATGATTAAGTATCTTTCTTCTACTTCGATTCCTTACTATTTGCATGGTGTAATCGTTTTAATGTCCTATCTTTTCAGTTTCAAACGCGAGCGGTGAAATGCTTCCCAACTGGAGAAGCTTTTGTTGTTGCCTCTATTGAAGGACGTGTGGCGGTGGAATATTTCGATATGTCAGCAGAAGTTCAGAAAAACAAATACGCCTTTAAATGCCACCGTGAAAAGGATGAATCTGGTACCGAAATGATATATCCTGTAAATTGCATCGATTTTCACCCCATACATAACACCTTTGTTACTGGAGGTATGTCACAGTTTGTGAATAAAAAATTTTGCAAAATTTTCACTTTTAAAATGTTGTTACAGGAACTGAGCTAGTCTAATGACACTGATACAAAAAATAAGTGGTAATACTTATGTTTAATGCAGAATACTGATTTTCAGGTTCGGATGCACTTGTAAATATTTGGGATCCGTGTAACAGGAAACGAATATGTCAACTGCATAAGTTCGTTTTTATATATATTTGGTCAACAAAATCATGTTTACTATATTAAATTCGTTTATGGAATAAGGAAATTGTCGACGTTCTCAATATATGAAACATGATCTAAATTTCGTTTTTTCCGGTTCCCAACAGGCATCATGAGTGTTTCATTCAATGCAACCGGAACGCAGTTGGCAATTGCAGCTTCGTATATGAATGAATTGAAAGAGCGCCCTAATCCAGAACCCGAAAGTACAGTTGTAGTGAGGAAGATTACAGATGTGGAAGCAAGACCGAAGTGATGTATTTTTTTTCCTTTAATTTTCACATTGTTATTTTTGAATCATCGGATGACCGTAAGAGCGTAATTATCATCAACGAAGCTCATGTTAGAGTGACTTGGAATGTGTTTGTCCATGGTTGTGACCAAACTTCTACATTGAATTGCTGAAAAAAAAAAACTTATAATTTCCATAGCCAATGCTTAATGCTGTGTTAAGCTCATGTTCTTACGGATGGAATGAATAATTGCCGATGTTTCATCATTTGTTGAAGTTTTTGGCATTGCCCGTTTTTTGTTTTCTTAATGAATCAGTTTATATATAGGAGATGATCCAAAAAGTGAAGCTTAGAGCGGGATCTTCATTTTTTTTAAAGATGTTTTAAAGTTGCCAAATTTTCAAATTGAAAGCGCAATAGTACAAAAGTTTAAGTGATATATATATATATATATATATATGTTACCTTTGTTGGTTTATTCGTATCGACAGCACATTTCGCAAGATTTATTTCTCCTGTATTCTGCAAAGCTAATGGTTTTGAAGGCTTCCAAATCTTTAACTTACAAAATAATATGGGTCAAAACATTGCATTCATAAGTGAAATAATGATAAAATATGGCAAATATACTATTGTATCTGACCATATAATGGTGGTCATGATTTTCTTTCAAAGTTTTACGCTAACTATATAAGGTCATGTCTCATGTTTTCATCTAAAAGTGGGGATTTCTTTTGCGAGTGAGTGAAAATACTAATCAATGGTAAAACGTAGAGCTTCATATTTGTAGGACTCTCATATACTTGCACAATATTCAAAAAAAACTTGAAGACCCGCCTTTCTACAATTGGTCGATGCAGCGAGGATTGTGAAGTAATATTTCGTTCCGGACACCACCTGAGTACGAGCATTGATAATTTTCACGAGTTTGTAGAGATTTCTGCTCCTAGTCTTCCCATTCACTTGTACCATCGCCTTTTCTGCTACTTCCTGAACAGAATAAATGTTTGACATATTCACTTCTTTTCGTTTAATCTTAGTTTGATACCTGCTCTCTTTATTGAAAACAAGCAGGTAGACATTCATAAAAAGCAATCTACCTTGATTTCTGGATCATTCGTGTCGGCATTTGTAGCTCCACCTAACTTTATCCCTTCAGAGCTTTTAGATATGATTACAGACACTGACAACCATACAATAAGATAGAACATCTGCAAGTTACACGTTAATTTACGTCTGGCGCGGAAATAATTCTATTAGAGTTCACAGTTTAACATAGCGCGTTTCCTTGTTTTTGTACCTAGCCATGTACCTGTCTTTTATAGAAGATTATGTGTCGATCGTCAGAACCTTCGGTAGTTTTCCAGAATGTAAATGCAGTCTAGTCCGAATCCTCTATAATGTCCAATCATTCTCCATTTGACACAACACTATCATTTGACACCATAGCGATAATAAAATTTAGTTAAACGGTAAATTGAATCTTAAATAAGCGCTGTATGTTCACTTTTTCCTTCCGTAAATGTCATGTTATTTTGCAATGAAAAGAATGGCACTGAGGACAAATACTGATAGTGAAAGCTTGTGACAAGGGAAATAGCCGGTTTTTAATGGTGTTGTTATTGAAAAGTCAAGAAGAATGAGTAAAACATTGGTTGAATTGATGAATACTATTTGAGAGAAACATCAAATCTATCCTTTCACTTCTTCCCAATCATCTCAAATCTCTCAACAAAACCTGAACTGTATTTGTAAGAGTTGAATTGAACATATGTGATTGGCCATCCTTCTTGTAAAAAATTGTTGATCTAATGAAGGTGACAATGTTCTCCATATAATTCATGTTATCTTTACATGAAATAATCTGATTTAGAAGTACATAATAATACATTTCAATCATTCAAAACATGGCTTCATCATCGTGACAGCAAGTTGAAAACTCTCTCCTCCTAATTATTTTTGTTATCAATTTCGTTAAATTTGTTTATTTCTTGAATTCATTCAAATTTTTGTATAAAAAATACACAATCAATATATGCATGAATATGAAATATTAGACTGCAATTAGGTTAAAAGTCCTAAAAAAAACCACTTACATTTCATAATACCTCTGATCACTTCATTTCTCCAGTTCACCGGACAATATTGCCAGGTAAATTGCTATTTATTTATTACTAATTATCTTAATGTAGTTCAGAATGTGAACAATTCTTTCAGGTAGCTATCAGGAGCGACTGATCGTACGATTTTGCATACGGGAGACGTGGTTTACATAGGTTTTTGAAATCAATTAATCACCTTCTTTATTAATTTGTTGATCAAATTGCCGGTATTTTGATTGATTAACTTTATTTATCAGTCAGAAAACATTCCAATTGTAGATTTTGTTCATTCCAATTGTAGATCGTTATAGTTTGACAATGGCTCTGATCCGCCTTAGTATTATTTGTCACTTTCATAACAAATGCGCAAATTGAAAGGCATATTACTAAGTGATTTGGCACAAATTAATTACATTTCATTCGCATTACTTTATTAAGATTTTCAGGAATGTGCCATTGTTCAACATGTTTTATTATTCAATCAATTTGACTATAATTTATTGATTAATGGACAAATTGGATTTCAAATTGGATTGACTAAGGCAGTACTCATGGATTTAGTTTAATTTTGGTTATACTCGAAATTAAATTAAACTTTGAGCGATTAGAATGCTAAAGTTGACCATTAATGTTTATTATTCATACCAACTTAATGATCGAGCATGTATGCTTTTGTATGCATAATGCATGAAAACTACAACAAAGGGTAAATTAATGAGGTTAAAAGTGAGAACATATGTGAAATAATCGAAAGGAAGAAGAACTGAAATTGTCGCAGAAGGACGGGGAGAATTTGCACAGGAAAGAGGATAGATAGTTAATGAGTTGGAATGGTTGAAATTAAGAGATAATCATTGGACAAATAATTGTGTTTTGCTTATGGAAAATGAAAGAAATTTAAGTTTGATTTTCTTTTAATGATTTTAAGGAAATAAAAATAAATGTGGTTTAATAATTAATTTAAATCTAAAATTTACTTCGCGGTGGATATATTTATTGTTTTTGACTGCTGCTGTTAAGCAAATGATTTCTTGATTGGAAATTTATTTTCGGAGATGGAGCTGTTTATTCTTTAATGTAAATATTTATTCAATGAAATAATGGTGCATCTTAATGACAGGTGAATCTTTTGATCCACCTGTCTTTATCAAGTATCAGCAGTTATTCTAAAATGCGATTTTAATATTTTAATCATTTGTTATCACTCATTATTATTCCATTTTCAACTATATCTAACAAGCAAAAGGAATTCAAAAAGTTACCCATCGTAAATAGCACTTTTACAGTATCCTTTGTTGTTGAAAAATGCTGTAATGAGCAGTGAGCTAATATAGTTGAATGAAGTTTAAGAAATAGCCGCACATTTCATTCGAAATTTTCACCCTAACCCGCCTCCCAAAATTTCTATAAAAGCAGAAGGAGTCTTTCCTTTTTGTCCAGAATCCAGAATTTTCGAATTTAATTCCAATTTATCAGTGTTAGGAATTTTACTCTAACAAAATTTGATGATCCGCAGGGGTTTTTCCCCGCAGTTTTTTAAGATCTCGAAAATGAACTGCGGGATTTCCTTCTCTGTTAATATATCCGGCTAATTCTCAGAACACACAAACATTATATGAGCTGATAAGAGCCTATGGTCTATTCCAGGATTAACTCTTAATATTTCACTCATAATGATTTATTTATTGTTTTATGCAGAAAACTATACTAAAATAAAATGAAATTTTTATAAAACTTTTTCACTAATTACAATTTGCTGCTTACTTGTGATCAACGCGAAACTATTGATAAGCAATTGTTCGGTGATCGAAATGAACTGATAATATTTGATTGAAAAATTGTCAGTTATTAATAATTGAAATTTACACCTCGATCTTGGCTATTTAGTTTTGAATTATCAGCAATTAATTGGTTATCGTAGTTTTCAGTCAAGCAGTTGAAACCGGAGAAATTCTATTCAGGAAGCTAAAAACAGAAACGGTTAACTTGAATCATTGGAAGTATCAGTAACTTGTTAACAATAGAAATCCATAGCAGAAATCAAGGATCCACTTTTTTTTTTCTTTTCCAAAATGATAAGCAAATCAGCCTGAAATGAAAAAAACTTACTTTCATCAGATGACACATGAGCTGTTGTCATCAAGAGTAAGTTGACAAAAAGGTTAAATATTCATATTGTGATATATGCAAAGGTTATGTAATAAACTGCAAAGAGTGACGCTGGAATGAAATTAAAAATTTTCATATAGCAATGATTCTGGCATGTTATTATAAAACAGACAAGACAAACTATGAACCATTTGGAATTTCTGATCTTGTTTGAGGCCTAGGCTCAGATAGAGAAGCTCACCAATCACTAAATGACCAATTATTCTCCGATCCAATGTTGATAAATTTCTTGATTTTCTATACGCATAGATGTTAATAACTTTACAAACCAAAGTTGAAAATAATAAATCCCTTTCAGGGTACGGTAGTATTATTGATGTTTTCAAAAACAGTATCGAAATATATTTAAAAATCGTTGGATAATCCCGCGAAAAATGTGAAGTTATTTTAGTGAATGCATTCTCCCGGATGAAAATTCCCGGTGTCAAGTCTTTCTCCCGCGTGTCACTTTAATTGCACATATATTGCTTGCTTTTTACAGATGTTGGAATTCGTCCTTTTGCTAACAGTTTTCATTAGCTTTTCCAGTGCTCAATATGAGAATGATCCGGATGTACAGGTGAAACTATAAATACATCATGACAAACTTTCCGGCTATTCTGAGACTCCGATTTGTCATTTGTCATCTTCAGGATGTGGTAAGAGATTCAATGATAATGATAAACGATCAAATGAGAGGTAAAAGTCTGTATAAACTGGGAAAAATACTGAAAGCAAAAGTTTTGGTAGTACAGAATGCGATATATCAAGTTACACTTCTTCTTATCCCGACAACCTGCCCAAAGGTATGTTTCAGTTATTTAATCACAACCATAAATGCATCCTTCTTCAGATAGACTTTATTTAAAGGGATTCTGAAGGGGAAAGTGGACAGGAAAGCTGAATTTAAATTTCGATAATTATTTAATTGTGATTGCGGAAATATTTATTGTATTCCAAACCTTTTATCAAGCTTAAATACAATCACAAAAAATATACCACCCAAAAAACCCCTCGAAAACTTTTGATCGTATTACTTTTTTTGTAGCACCAAAAAGTTCAAAATCTATCTCAATGTCCAGTGGACAGGCGACAACGGCAACAGGTAAGATAATTAATTCACAAAGAAGCAATTATTAATGGGGCAATTATTAATGAGTCTTGGAATCTCAACTTTTTTGTAGCAATGATACCGGAATTCTTAATGAATTCAATCTAGAAATGATATATTTGCAATTAAAAAGGTTAACTTCCAGACGGTTAATGTTAAAATAACAGAATCATTGACTGGTGAAATTACTGTCAAAGTTGGTTGATTTGGGTTGTTATGAAAGGTCAACAGAAGTTTATTCTTATTTATTGTTTTCATCTCTGTATTAAAATTGCTATTCTTTGCAAAATATCATAAGATTTGGTCGAATAAATGAGCGAAAAGTAAAAAAAAAAGAGTACGAGTAAGAAGAGTTGTTGCGTTATACTGAAACTTCAAGGACAGAGGTCATCCATGAAATGCATCAAACTGTACATATGAATGGAATACCTAATTTAGTTCTATTGCATTTCAAATAAAATAGAATTTTAATGGATTCAACGAAAATAAGCAAAATCGATCACAGTGAAATAAACTGACTAAATGATGAAAGCTTGTTTGATGATTTATGCGTCCAAAACATGTGCGTCAGGTTATGAGCTATTAAATAGATTATTGATTTCCACCGAGAGTTCGCGATCAATAAACAATATCAGTAATGAGTATAGACGGTCAGTGCACTGAATTGAATAATTTGAGAAATCAGGTTGCTCAAGTTAATTCAATTCAGACTATTACTGTGATATACAACGGAAAGGCTGACTTTTCGTCTTTTGTTTTCGTATCAGAAAAGAGGAAAATGTTATTGAATTTTATGAATTAATTCATTTCTTCACATCTATGCACAAGTACTTGTTCTGAGTAGAGTAAATTCATTATCATATCACTGATATTATATCACAGCTAATGGGATAAAACCCCGGTTAATGGGATAAACTTGTCTTTTTGACATTTTTTTTTTGTTTGTTTTTTATACTGATTCTTTCCTTTCGGCTAAAGACTTATTGATTTCGAATTAGTGTTAAATTCTGCTGCTGTAATCATTTTTGTAAGTAAAAATAGCGTCAAGTGTGCTGTCACATAATGCAAAACCATTTTATGGCTTTCTTCAAATATTGCAATGTCAAATGTCAAGTGTCATTTGAAATTAGCTTCTACTGACCTCATTTTAGTTGGTCATTATTACCTTGCTCGAAGCATACTTTATGTTGTCGAACAATTTTCTGAAGTGAAATAGAGTGGTACCCAACCAGGAAGAAGCTTTAAATGGATGTTGAAATAATTACTAGACCCACTCTTGGCGTAAACTTGGCGCAAACGATAATTTTTTTTTAAATGAACAAATCCATTCATCCTTTGAAATAGGGCACGTCGGGGCACATCAAAGTAGCGCTTTTATTACGTGTTGAAAGAGTATGCAATGAGTGCGCAATTATACGTGTATGGAACTTTCAATCGGTTTTGTTTGATAAGTTTTCACTTAGGTTTGCTTAATTGATGTGATACTTTGACATGTCACTTAAGAGATGATCTCTGATACGTGGAAGAAAGCATTCGTTTTATGAAAAGTTATTAATTAGTACACATTTAAAAAGCTACAAATCAAAGCTCACCAAATATTAAACACTATCCTTCTGCAAATATCCGATTACAAATCCTATTTAAATGGCTACTTCTACTAACTTCACATCTTTCATTCTCTTCATCTTCACCAAACCAATTTTATAATAGGTATGGCACTAATTATAAATGATGTGAAGATTAATCGATCAGTAGAGTATCATATTATTGGTATACTTAGGCGATGGAAGTATTATTGGACATTATCGATATGCCAGCCAGGTAGAAAGGACTGTCTCCTCCTTTATTGTACCACTCATTAATGGTAATTATATTCTTCTCATGCATTTCTGTCCTCAAGGACGTCTTCGGATTATTTTGATATTTTGCATAATACATCCTTTATTTAATGTGGCATACTTCCCCAATACCTTTTCATTCACTACTAAGATGGAAGATAAAATGCGATGATTGGATCGTAATCGAAGTTAAAGTATAAAATGCATTGAATCGATCGTTAAATATGTGCGAAAATAAATATTTATGTTAGCAAAAGTGGTTAAACTTTGAAAAGTTGAGTTCTTATGCAAAACTTGGCTTAATTAATCTGCCCAAAAAGTTAAAAGTATAATTGCTGTTGTTGAAAAGTTTGAAAAAGTCTTTCAATACTTTTTAAAAGTAAAAACAAGAAAAGTTTTTTTGAATGTAATGAAATATCAAATTGCCTTCAAAATCATAGCCATCGAATGATAGTTTAATTTGCTTGTAATTAACACAATTAACAAGCCTTTAACAAGCATATAAACAAACAGTGCCACAAAGTATCATTGAAATATGCATTCGATTCCGTGGTAACAGCAAAATAAGCGTGAAATGCGGAAATGGAAGTTTTCACGTACGTTGCAAGATGGCATCATAGGTCGGGTATCGAAAATGAATGCATTTGCGCACTTTTAAATAAACATTCTAGCAGTTAAAGTAAATAAATAAGGAAATCATTGGTCATCTTGGTTATATGGCTATCTTTTAGTTAAAATAAATTAATAAGAAAGTCATTGGTCATCTTGGTCATCTGGATACCTTTCAGTTAAAAACTGGCTAAATGATAATTTTGATAGGACAAGACTTTAAATGAATTCGTACGAAGTAAAGATAAGTCAACCAAATGAACGAAAACTTTCCATCACTTCATTCAACGACTGATTACGTCACGCTATTTTTAGAATAACTAATATTTATGTTATTGCTGAACCGACAAAAATTTGCAAATAGAGTCATTGGTTGTGATCCAAATACTCTATCCAGTTCGTCAGCAGAGTGATAAATGATAGCAATTGATCGGTAGAATGATAAGTGATAGCAATAATCGGTAGAGTGAGAAGCGATAGCAGTGATCAGCAGAGTGATAAGTAATAGCAGTGGTCAGCTTGAACGTTTGTAATTAATACAATACAAACAAGCATTGTTCACTTTTACTGATATAGCAATGAAGATGACACTTAATATCGTCATATTAATTTGGATAGTGTTACTTTCATCTTATTATCATCCTTTACACGAACAAAACAATTTTTATTTACTTGTTAAAAACTTCTATTTAGAAATTTCTATTTACCAAAACAATTTCTATTTCTATTTCTACATTTACCAATTTCTATATTTTTATTTTGGGTAGAAAAAAGTCGCTAAAGCAACAATTTAATATTTTTGTCGTCTTATGATTGGTATGACAATTGAATTTTTGTCGCTTCATGAATGGTATAGTAATTTGATGAGACCTATCCAATGACAATTTTGGTTTGATTAATTTTCTTTTTGATTTGCATATTTCATTCATTCTTGTTGGATTGCTATCCATAGATTTTTCACTTTTCATATAATTTCTTTGTTGAATGATTTGATGCCTTTTTAAAAATAAATAAATAAATTTTTCACGATAGTTTTACTGTCGCAGTGTTATGCAAGAGATTTGATACGTGGAAATTTTAAAATTGTTCCTCCATTAAACATTCATTTGAAATTAGCTCCTAATGACGTCGATTTGCATTAATTAACTTTCAAATGTTTTATAACCAAATTTGAATTATGATATTCGGGCATGCATAAGTTGTGATGGAAAATAGTCAAAAGCGCAACCCATCCAGGATTAGCAAAAGCCGCTTGTCAACAGTTCAGCGGATGAGAAGATGAGTATTGCTGTAATTAGCATTAGCATTAGAAAGAAGAATAAACTATATGAAGTGAACTGATTAACCTCACCGTCATTGAACTGATCATCACTTCATTTTTTATCAGTACACAAACTTCAAATCCTTCTTGGAACAAAAAGGACGGGAATGAATTTTCTTTAAGCAAACTTCAATATGATATTGTATTTTGGGTGAAACAAAATGATAAGTTAGAAATAATGGCGCAATAATTCTTTGAGTACTTTTGTACTTATACCAATGCTTTCATTATTTGACAAAGTTCAAAATTAAGGCTTCCAAAAATTACAAACTAAAAATTATTTCTGAAAGTTACTTATTTCTGAAATGAATCATTTCTTTTTTTGTATCAAAAGGAAGGAATGATTCATCACGTCTTTTATTTGTATTGCCAAAAAGGATCCTTATTTTTATTAATTCAATAGGAGATATTAAACATTAAGAGAAGAAATTCCCATATTTCCTAGTTTTCAACGGTTTGAAGTCTGTAAAAACCCCACTAAATGACACGTAAGGAAGATTAATTAATTAATTAATTAATTAATTAATAAGTTATCAGTTTTGCGAAACCCAATATGTTAGATTTGTTTTGAGCCTATAATGCGAATGTTTTAAAAACTGAGTAAAATCAATTCCAAATCCAACAGTTATTTTCAACAGTTACTTTCTCTGATAACTTTTCAAATTTTGAAAAATGTAACTTTTTTCAAATCCTTTCATTTCTTCTAACTTCTAACTCTTGGCAAATCATTTAGGAAAGTAGTAGTGCAGACGAAATAATGCTTTAAAAAAAAAAAAAAAAATGCGCAATGATAACTTTACATTTCTCATTACTTGATAAATTACAATGAAAAATAGTTACTATTTGGGAATGATCAGATGAATGAAATCATTATTTATCCGGATGATCTCACACATTACTTCCCGTATTTCTCGAATTATTGATGCTAGCAATGAACGGGTTCTATTCAAGTGAAGGATAAATATTTGAAATAGGGAAAGTCTCGTGAGTATAACCTACTCCAGATCCAGTTTTCAAAAGTTATTTGCTTCAATCCTTTTTCTACAAACTGTTGGGCGCTATATAAATGGAGCATTAGCGCTTTCATCATTCATCAAAATATGGTGCCAATAAGTCCGTACGGGTTGTGTATCAACTGTGCACACATATACACACATACATTTAATGTGCTGTATAATAATGATAATGCGTGAGAAGGATGGTTGTTCCTTTCCATCACATTTCCATATTTCGTATAATCCGTATTACTCATCCGATTTATCTTCTTGCTTATCCTTTTACTGAAATTTTTGCAAATATGTATTAATAAGTTTAAGCTCCTTAAACTTGCACCAAATCATTCACGTATGCGTTGACGTCATTTGAACTCACGTTGAACTCATTTGAACTCACGTTTCCAACAAATATACGCTTAAGTATTTCGTGCTCACTTGATCTTGGCAAATCATTTAGGAAATAGTAGTGCAGACGAAATAATGCTTTAAAAAAAAAAAAAAACGCGCAATTCAAAGTATTTTGTTTTGTCGCGGGTTTTTCAGAAGTGGTGACAAATGTCCACCTTGCTATAACCCTATAGCTTACTTTCCCTGCATTTTCCGATCTCTAATATGATTCCCTTCTTGGCTCTGCTTCTAATATTTATTTTGTTTACACTTATTGTGTTCGATACAGATTATTATCAAATTATATTTTAACTGCATTTCAAGTCATTTATCGTTGCACATTTCGACATTTTGACATTTTGACCTCATTTCCTGATGAAAAATGTCAAAGCGATAAAATCAAGCATATCTTATCCCAACAAATGTTCCAATTATTTAGCACAATAATCTATCTTTTTTTTTTTTCACTTGAACTTCAACTATCCATCAATTAAAATTTCTTTCTATCCATTCATCTTTTTTTAATATATTTATTTGAATAGCAATCCTTCCTGTCTCTTCTAATTAATCAGCATATCTATTACCTGATCTGTTATTTTCTCTTTTCACTTTTCCATTTCTAAAATATGCTATTATATCTTCAGATTGAGTTTTTTTAGTAAGTCGAAATTAAGAGAAAGATCGATGTATAACATGTGCGTGACAATGGAGGAATCAGAATCCTAAAAAGTACGTTGACGGATACTTATCACGTATAAGTACTTTCACCTTTGAACTTAAAATCTCTTTGAAAATATGATTAAGTTTTCATTTTCCATTTCGTATTTGGGAAAGTCAAATTTCCCGACACAGAATCTCGATATTCTGCAACAAAAACAATTGGTTTGAAGTTATATGGAATGGCGCTAAAGAGAAGATGAAAAGAAAGAGAAGTCGGATCGTTCTATAAATTTTAAATGTCTTTTTTTTTGTCTAAAAAGTTGCAAATATTGTTTACTTGAAAATTTATTAACCATTGTGACCGATCTTTCTCATTTCAAAAATCATTCTATTTTCATCAATGCTGAAAAATCTTTTCCTAAGTAAATTATAAGACTATTTCCGCATGGTGCGCAAATATCACAAATATCACAAACAAATATCACAAATATCAAAAAATAAAAATATCGCAAAAAAAATTTGCTGATTACTGCTATCACTTATCATCTTACTTTTGCTATTATTACTAATATCGCTTGTAACAGTTGACCTTTCATGCTTGCAGTGTTTTGCAGAAAAGTATTGTTAGATAATTGGATTTTTGCACAAAAGAATGTTCGCTGTTTTGATAATTAAACTTTAACACTAATCACTTCTCTGATATTCAAACTTTGATCTTTCTATATGAAATTACGATCTCATCGTTCTTTAATACTAATAAGTGCTAAAAAAAGAAAAGTTTCGAACCCTGAAGAATCTAAAAATTTCATTTTTATCATTTCGAACCTTGAAGAATCTAAAAATTTCATTTTTATCATTGATGACTGATAAGTTTTACGATATTAGCAGTCTCTCTTGATTACTGTTTTATGTCAAAGTTATTTCAATCGAAACCAAATTTCGATAATTTAAAACCTAAAAAGCGAAGAATTCCTCTGTTTTAATAAGTAATATAACAAAACCAAAAAAAAAAAGAAAAGCCTTCTTGACTATATCACCAATGGCTAATTTAACATTTAAATATCGAATACATCTAAAGCTGATCTGTTAAGATCGAGCAAGTCATCTACTCTCATCTAATGATAAATTGATATTCCAATAATTGCCAGTGATAATCGTAAACCTTTTCTAGTCGTTCCATTTACAAACGCTAATATTTCAATTTTGTTTTTTGATTTGAAGTAGTAAAATTTCTTTTAATGAACTTTCAATCAAAATTAATGGAGAAAGTCAAACTTTTTTTGTTATTATCACTTCGAAACACATATAATTACTCGTCATTTGTTCGAAATATCACTTTAATTCTTAATTAATTTAAATTTTATTCTTACTACTGATAACTACTGATAGTGATAATTTGGTAGTAACTACATTTTTCGAATTATCATTTCATAATTTCGAATTTTCAAATTATGATATTTCCTTTCAGATTATCGTGATTAATTTTCTTTAGTAATAATTGATGGTATTTTTAAAAGTGAAAAACATTCAGTATTAGAATGATTTCTATTTTAGTTTTATAATTTCAGAAATGCATTCATTTTATGCTAATTTCGATTCACATATTTGTTAAGTAATATTGTCCGTAAATTTTGAACTGATTACGACATGAGTAGAAAATATGACAGCACTCAAAGGGAATATCAAATTCCTTTGGACAACTGATTCCTGAATTTTGACGAATTGGTAAATATTCATAAGTTTAAATCTTAGGGTTTTTGAAATTTTTATCTCACCTATAATAATGTTCAGTTATATTATCAATTATCCGTTGATCCTCCATTTGTTATCTTTTATCTCTTTCAAAACAAATAGGTGACAAACCAAGAAAATTATTCGCAATAATTCTGCATACTTTTAAGTATGAACAGATCAATCAGTATATATATCCATTTTATCCCGATAATTCCGATTCCGATTCCGATGTATCGTCTTTTTCAACATCTGTCTTCTTCGATTATCATTGAATAATTTGATTGTCAGAATGAAGAGATGCATTACTGAATGATAACTTTGTGATAACAAAAAGCAATTAGCTTGAACAAATGATTTCTCATTTAATTGTGGAATCATTTGCTTAAACTGCAACATTTGCGCTGATTGCATCTCAATGTTCATTTAGCTTTTTAATTTTAGTTTTAGTTTAACTAATATATTGCTAATAGCTAGCCAAGCTTTTCATTTGTCGTAATTTTTTCTCTTTCTCTTTAACAAACTAACTACAACTGACCAGAAAGAGAGTATTATCAACATTTTAAGCCACACTTACGACAGCTGACTCTTCAATGCAAACGAGATAATCATTCATTTTATTTGTTGTTTAGCATGCTCAAATATTCCATCAATCTTTCGCCGCAATCTCCGCCTAACCACTATTTGTTTTCTTCCTCCCTTCACTAGCGCTCTTTCTATTAGTCTTGTTGTTATTGTTGCTGTTGTTGTTATTGTTGCCGTTGTTGTTATTGTTGTTGTTGTTGTTGTTGTTGTTGTTGTTGTTGTTATCGTTGTTGTTGTTGCTGCTATTGCTATTATTATTATTATTATTATTACTATCTTTTTACTAAATACTGCTATTGCAATTACCGTATTATCATCGCTTGTTCTCCTTAATCATTCCAAATTTTTCATTTTAGAAATCAATTTGATAAAGTAAAACTTTATCTTTCATTTTCCATTCTGGAAATGTTGCAAATCTTTTCCTTTTAACTAAACATTTGCTTTGTATTCAATTAAAAGTTAATATACACTGTTAAAGAAGAAAATGATTTATTTTTTCTGAAAGACTACGGAATATTTTGATGATATTGCAAATACTTAAAGCTAAAAATGGCTATAAAATGTAATTGAATTCTTAATTGGATGTCAAAGATGAAGTAATGGATAATGGTCATTCTACATCAGGAATCAGGATTCTTTCCAATCACCTCATGGCATTTACTTTTCATCTTTTGTAACTATGATGATTATGAATTGGTGAGGGAAAAAATTACTGTAAGACTTTGGACTTATTAATATTTAATTTCATGCTAAATTTTATTTTACAACCATCTAAAACATCTGCTCACTTAATGCAAATAATTGTTGTTGTTGTTGTTGTTGCTGCTGTAATTTCAACATTACAGCTTAAAATGCTATAGTTAATCAACGATTAAAGGTCATCATCCCTTTTATAATACTTTTCAGCTTGTCATCAACATCATCATCATCTTTGTTTATTTAACTTTTTCAATTCTTTGATAGTTTTAAATTTTTTTCAATTTTTTAATCGCACTCATTCCCTCATTAGTTTTCAATATATTCTGTATGTTTTAATCCATTATCATTCATAAAAGCAATGATATTTCAATATCTAATTAATAAAGAAGAAATTTGCGACATATCAAATGTCTTCATGTATGTGAGCTGATAACTGAAATGATTAAATGATACCGAAAGTTATCAGAGCTGTAATAATTATTGTTTAAAACTTGAACTATTAATTTTAATTATGTACAATGGATGCTCACTTCTGTCCAATAGGCGGCTGCTTTTGAATAGTAGCGCAATTGTCAACAGAGTTTTACAACTGTTCCATTTTGAAGCATCTTTCTTTTCGTTTTCAAAAATTGTGATATGTTTGAAAAGAGCGCACTAAAGCTGTCAAATGGTTGCTTATCAAGTTGTAATATTCTCTCTCTCCCTCCCTCCTCTCTCCCTCCTCTCTCTCTCTCTGTGTATGTATGTTTCCTTCTTAATCTGATACGAATGATTAGGAATACTTTTTCTTTCCTTCTCTTTTTCTTATGTTATCAGTATAACCCTCCTACTTTTTTTTTATATCTCTAAGCTTGGCTTTCCCGGCGGAGTTTTTTCGACAAACTGTAAAAAGATGCATTTTTGATAATATGGCAATGGCATGAATCAACGCTAACACTCAACTGTTCCATTTCTTTACTAACATACGACAGATTAACTTCTCTCTTATTTCTGAACTGTCACTCTATGGTTGCTGTAAAGAATTCGAGCTGGGGGGCAATATCAACCTCATTTAGTAAGCTATTCCAGTGGTCAGACACTTTACTTCGAACCATTCCATTGGTCAAACATCATATTTTCGAACCATTCCAATGGTCAGACGCTGTACTTCGAGCATTTCGATGATCAGAGAGCCACTTTACTTACTTAGATGTCTGTAATCCTTTTCGTGTGACATTTGTAGTGGAGTGACCTTGTGTAACCTCACATGTATTCGTAAAAAGTTTGCTTCATCAAATTTTTCCACTCTTCAGAGGGCATTACTATATGAGGGTTAGACTCAAGGTCATGCCTTTGCATTCTTCTTGAATAACTAAATGAACTGTCACCTTGCGGTAAACTTTTCGCTCAAATGTACTGATCCTATGCAAACATCACTACTATTTTAGTATCATCCTTTTTTCGTCTTCTCATTTCTTAATCTAAGAAATGTAAGGAATCGTTTTTCTATCAGCGCTGATTGTAATGCGAAACAGACTGTTAGAAATTCGGAAAATTTTGTGATTTCAAACAATTTGCGCTCACAATCATACAGATTGGTTCATTTAAAAAAAAAGAAAAAATCTGTCGAGATTACTTTCAATTCTATTTTTTCTAACCAATTTTGTACCGTCTTTTGTCTTTTGTATTTTGTATGTCTTTTGTAATACCGTCTTTTGTATTTATTTCAAAAATGGGAATTGAAACATATATTGAAATATTATTTATGCTAATTAACTAAAAACAATTGCTAGAAAATTCTTTGATAAAGGATGCAATTTAGTAAAGTTTTGAAATACTGTTAACAGTTCTTCTTACCACAGTTATTCGTAAAAAACTGTAGAAATGGAAGATTGATAATATCCTGATCTCATGAATCAGTCAGATTGGTTTAATTACTATCGATTCAAAATCCAAGATATTTCTATGAATTCCTAAATAAGATGAAGTAATTTGTTGTCAAATTTTCTCTTCCTTCTACAAAGAGAAAATACCTGTTGAGATATTTACCTGAAATAATGAACTTCAATCTTTCGAGAAAAATTTCACATATTTTGTTATGGATGTATTACCAAAATTTTTAACAAATTACATTTTCTTGTTTTTTTTATCAAAAACTCCACCTGTTCATGCGTTTCGAATTTGGGCCTCCTGAATGTATCACGATGAAAATGACTGATTAGTAATTAATTTCATTTCATAATTATAGGATATGTATGTGTGCATGTGTGTGTGTGTGTGTTTGTGTATGTGTGTGTATGTATGTGCTTGTGTGTACTTATTTTCCTCGAACAATTTTTCTGAATTCATTCTTTTCCGTTTCACATCCGGAATTCAGTTGATCGGTTTTTCTTGTTAAAAGAATCGAATCCAAAACTATTTAATGTATGCCGGAACAACTTTTCTCTCTTTCTCCCTCTCTTCCCAACCAATTAAAATTGTTTTTCTTTCAAGCGAATTTTTATTTTCCTTCCACAAAATGGTAATTGATTCGATTTTTCAGCAGTGATTTAACTTCTTTTTAAATGTCATTTTTGTCTTGACAAACAGAAAATTAAATTTTTGAATAATATTTTTAATTTTTTGAAATTGGAGAAATTAATTGAAGTCAATAATATTGTTTTTGGCAAGTGAATTTGCACCGTAAATTACTACCGTAATAACCAGTAGTCATTTGTTCTTTTTCGTTTTGTGCTTCTTCAAAAAAAGTTTTTTGACTTACTTGCAATATTACAGTTGATAAGCGAATTTAGCTGTACTTATGAGCTACTACCTTAATAACCAGTGGTCATTTATTTCCTTCCGTTTTACACATTCTCTAGATTACAGTAAGTTTTTAAGCTTACTTAAGAGCATTAAGATGTATACCATAAAGCATCAATTGTAACGAATGATAATTGATAATTTTGATTTAATGAATTAACAATGTGTATGACATCTCGACCTATTTATTGGTTTATTTGAATTAATCAAGAAATCTATCACTTTTTCACTTCTTGATTTTATAAAAATTGGCTAGTTCAAAAAAAAATGTGAAATTCAATTTCATTCTGGCTAGGAGCTGAGAACCATCGAGAAAGTGTAAATTTAATAATATTGAAAGTGGAGAAGAAATAAAATTTTAAACTTGAAAAGTTTATAAAAATAAAAATAAAATGACACTTAGCGTCCATTTGCCGCTGCTTTTAAATTTGAACAAATTATACATTAACGGTAAATTATGTAATTGTGAATGTGATATTTCAATCTATTAAATGCTATCGTAAATACCTTTCTCTTTATCACATTTTCTCCACAATTCTCTCATTCTTCCATTACAACATCAATCTTTTAATTTATATTCGTCCTAAATTTAAATCTCTTCTGTGTGAATTTTCTGAAAGTTGAATTTATTAGTTTTCATTGTACGACTAAAATCTAACAATTTAAATCACTTATCACTATCACTTATCACTAGTATGATAAGTATCAACCATTGTAATTGATTTAATTCTATATATGCATCAAATATCAAATCGGGAATCATTCACGTTACTTCGTCCTTCCCTTAGGGTATTTGCGTATGTCCGTGTTGAAAAATTGATTTGATCGATGAGTAAAACGAGCATAGTTCTAACAATTTAACATTCAATAATTTAAACAAAAATTGGCGCATTTGAAAGATTGTTGTCACTGATCCCGGATCTGTTCCACAAATCTAAACAAATGCGCCGTTGTCTGCTTCAGAAACTAAATCAACATAAGGTTGTATTACTTCCTTTAAAAGTCATCATTTATCTAAATGTTTGGAATTAACTTTTAAAACTTTACTATTTCAACTTTCTTCATATCACTTATCACAATCATAACTACTCCTATGTCATGATCATTGTAATTACCGCAACTAATAACATTATTATACTTCATGGATATTAGCATCTTTCTTTTCATAGCTTTTTATTTTATAATTTTGAAATTTAATCTTTGTTCCATTTGCTTTATCATCAATTATATCATTGAAATGAAAAGAAAGACCTATTTCATTTTGTGTTTTCTCTTTTACTTTTTTCACATTTTCAATAACTAGTGACATTTATCATTCTTCAACTACTCCATTTATCGAAAACTTCAAATAAATTTAGTGAAATTTTCTGCTATCACTAAAATCTCCCAAAATAATCAAACCTATCACATTTTCATCCATTTGAATAAAAGCTATAAATTTTCATCTAAAATTTTATAATTTAATATATTAAATCATATGAACTAAATTGCTATATTTCAATGAACTATTTTGCATATGTCTTAATTCACTCAGTTCTCATTAAAATAAAATGACTACTTAGTTCTCATTAAAATAAATAATTTCATGGTATAAATAGAGCAGGACGAAGGTATATAATATTTAAAAAAAAAAAACATATTATAGCAAAGGATAAGTTTGGTAAAGTTTGGTAGGAAAAAATAAATCAATTTCAGCGATGTTCTTTTAAATTTAGTTTTTATAAATTAGAAGTCTAACTTCTGTTGATTTTATAAGTTAATGGATTTTTGAAGATATTTATTTTTTTGCTTTTGATTTCTAAATTGTATTATTTGAAATTGTTGGGATGAAATGTGCTTCTTCCCCACAAATAATGTACTTATTATAGCAGAAAACATTTGTCAACAAAGTGTCCTTTTGTTGAAATGACATGACAAATTGATTTTGTTAATTTATTTGCACTTTCCTTTAAGAAAATTAATGAAATTTTTTGCAACTTCTTCACCAGCTCACTTTTTGAAACTAAATGTTTGATTGGATGAACAGATAGAGGAATGGGTAAAGTAAGAAATGAATGGTACATGACCCAATGTGAAATTAATAAAGTAAGGAATGAATGGTTCATGATCTAATGTGAAATTAGTAAAATAAGGAATGAATGATTCATGACTTAATGTGAAATTATCTAAGTGCAAGCAGATTAATCTGCATAGAATTTGAAGAAGCATAAAACTGTATCAGATTTAAGTATCCAAACATTTGCTGTCTGCATTACAGTTGACCTGCGACATTTTTGACCTTCGAAATATTCGTGAAATAAACTTTGATGATTTACTAATTTTCGTTGTATTCATTGAAATTCAGGTGAACGTTTTGACCGAAAAAAAGATGAAATGGTATCGGATCAAGAGAAATTCCGATCAGATAGCAATAGTAATTATATCAGTGGTGACAAGGGTGATATCAATGGCACCAATTATGATAACATGAAATTAACGAGAACGTCGATGTCTTCATCATCATCATCATCATCATCATCATCATCATCATCATCACCATCATCATCATCATCATCATCAACATCATCATCATCATCATCATCATCATCATCATCATCATCAACATCAACAACGCTAAAAAGTGCTGAAAGCGGTTACGATGCAGAAACATTGGAGAAAGTGTCGACGTAAGTTTTGTTTAGGAAAGGACTCTAGTCGATCTTTCCATTGTTTATTAATTAGTATGGAATAACTTTATAATGTAATGTTTGTAAAGAATACCACGTTTTTAGGTATTATCGTAGCACGACGACGACACCTACACGTTCAGCAGTGACTCAGGAATCAGTTATCAGTACTGCAATCATTGGATGCGACCGGGGTAGTTTGAAGTTTAAAATTCAGTTCATAATCCGGAATTGTCATGCCCTGATAAAACGTTTTCTCATTCACATCATTACCTCATTTCTCTTTTATAATCTTTTCCAGCGCTATAATTTAAAAAAAAAAAGAAAAAAAACCTGTACAATGGATTAGAGATAAATCACCTTTCTTAAAACTACTAATCTTGCAGATCATACATCGACTGAAACTCTAACACGTCCATCACGTACATACAGGTTAGATTTTTAGACGCCTTATGGAACATAAATTAAGATATAATTTGAAATGAAGCCAAGTGGAATTCGTAACTTGACAAAAAAAAACCAGTCATTGCTATTGTCAGAATTCTTCAACTGGTTTATTGCAACATGAATTCTTCCTTAAATCATTATTTCAGTCTTCTGTGACAGATTTATAAGTGACGAGGCCTAAAGATGTTCTTATTTAGATTTGGAGATTTGGGCACAGTATCTTGATGCTAAAATTCAGGAATTGAATTTAAAAAAGAAAATAAAAAGGTGTTTGATTAGATAAAAGAGGGCAAAAGTAGCGCAACTGATACACACAAATGATTATTTGTTGTTGATTTCCCACAAAAATGATAACGACTGGTATCTTTGCACATCCTTGGTAATCAGAGGGCAGATTGGATTTTTACATATTTTTGTCTAGAACCTTCGTAACATATAAAAGAAGAACGACCCGAGAATTAATAAATAATAGAAAAACGAATTTTGTAAATTTTCATTTAACATCAGCCAATTACTGCCTTTTTAGTTTTATTTTGGAGAAAATGGTTGCCTCAAATGTTTGTGTTTCCATTTTCATGCTAAAATTTCACTAATTAAATTGGTAATAATTTGAGAGTTATTGTAGCTAAGAAATATACCATAAAGACAGAAATTTATTTCAGGAATTAATTTGTCATTTAATTATGTTTGCCAAAAAAATTAGATGAATTTTTATAGTTTTTTTCTAAATTAATGTTTCATAATTTTTTTTTTCCAGGATAATAGATAGTAACGTTTCGCAAAAAATTTTGCAACAATTGATTGCTGATAAATTAGCCGCCGCACAAACAAGCGAAAAAGGAGCAAAATTTTTGAAAAGAAAAGGTAGCAGCAAAGGGACATCTAATTTTTTCTTGTAAGTTTATTTTTGATTTGTTACATTTCCGCCGAAATATTACATTGAATAGATTTCAAATAATAAGTATTAACAATTTCAGTCAACGACAATCCAATTTTGGATCACAAATTTGGAATAAAACTGACGAATTATCAGTCATATCTAAGGCTCCAATTTTTCGTACCCATTTTGATATCGTTAGAACGTCAAGTTTCAATGGGAATCAAGCGCAATTGATTCGCAAACATTTGGATTGTAATCGTAATTCACTACCTATCAGTATCATTTCATTGAACAACGAGTTAGTTTTCATTTTCATTTTAATGCTGATAGTTAAGCAGTGGATTACCTAAGAAAATGTAATGATTAATGGCCTTACTTTTACATTTCTAATAATTACCTACCACTTGGCTCCATGTAAATGGCCCAGATAAAATGACGAAATTTTTCGGGGAAAAACTAAGCTTTCTAGAAATTGTTTTAATTTGCTCAATTTGTTTGTCTAATATTTAAACTTCATTAATTATATATAAAATTTTGGTTTTAATATTCTTCAATAAATATAAAGAAAAAATATTTTGATTTGTTTTTTCATTTCGAAATCATTCGTGGTTTGATTTTTTTTTTTTTTCTCAACAACAATTAAGAAGTGGAAGACGGAAAAGTTTGCTAACTTAGAAAATATCGATTACACTCTGTTAAACATTTAATCACACCTGAATGATTTCGAAGATTTTGCATGAAAAAGCAAATTATGACATTTTCTTTTTGTATTTATCGAAGAAAATTAAAACCAAAATTTTAAAGACAATTAACAAAGTCTAAATGCTTCGACAAATTTAGCTTGTCTTTAATATGTCATCAAATAAATAGAGATAGTTCCATTTCTCTTATTCAGGATATTTTCTCACACATCAAGAATTCTCGGTCTATTCTAAAACGAACTCAATGTTTGATCTTTAAAATTATGGCTTGCTTAGAAATGATCTGCAAAAAAATTTCCACCAAAATATTACCAGTTTAAATTCTGTGCTATAACTAATCATTGTTGACTGATTTTCTCTCTGTAAAGAGACACATATTTGTATTTTTTATCTTTAACAAGCAGATGAAGATCTCAGGATAGTTCCTGGAAGTTAAATGTTTTTTTAATTAATAATATTTCATCTAATAAATATGTTCAATAATTCCATTTCTTATTCAAGATATTTGTACCAAGAATTCTCAGTCATTTCTAGATCGAGATGTTTAATCTTTGTAATGTGGTCCTTGTTCTGCTAATTACATATTATTTCTTAGTGTTCCATGCTAATTACTATTGTTTCATTAAATCCATTCCTGATTTACGCTAAATTAATCATTCAAACTAATTGGGTGAAGTAGACAGAACGATTGGTTTGTTTATGAGTTGAGAACAAAAACAGTCATCAATTTTCTAAATTACGAATTTTCAAATTGTTGGAATGATTAGACACATCAGATAAGTTTCAGCAAGTCTGAATTAAAGGTAGACACCAAACCTGATATGACTATTTTCGCTTCAGAAAATGATCGTATCTCAGTAACATTGAAAGCATTGTAGTAGTGAAGATCAAACCTAAATGATTTTGGTGAAATTTACTTATCAAAATCATTTATCATTATGATTTTTGCAATAGATACAATCCTCAGTGCACTACCCCGCTAATAGCGGGTATTCGCTTAATTTGTACTTCTGATATCAAGTAATTTAATTTGAGCATTTAACAAGGGAAAGAACCAATCTTTTCTTTATTTTAAGAATAAGCAAAAGGTGAGTTAAGCGATAGTAAACAAAAAAAAAAAAAATGAGATGAATTTTATTTTAGTTTCTCTGAAGAGTTAACTTCCACTGATCTTACTTCATCGTCTCCTTTTTCTGTCACCACCTGTCGTATACTTTCATCATTTTTTGCGGGAATTTTTCGATTGGTGGTGAAACTTGTGTGAAATCAGGAGAGTTCTATTGTTTACAGTTTGTTTACCAAGTCATCATTGTGGGATTTGTGAAGTGAAAGAAGCAGAAGATGTATGAAAGAATGAGTGGATAGAGGCTTATTGAATGAAGGAATTTGTTTGCTCACCACCACTTGATGAGTCCCGTTTCCGACCTCCCGGTCCCAAATACCAATCTGTTGTCCCTTTTGCTACTTTCTTACCTGTTCACTCTTCACTTCTTCCAGTTTCTACAAAATTCTCTCTTGTACCACTCTTACCTATGTTCAACTTTTTTACCATTATTTCATCTCATTTGTTTTTTTTATTTTCCTTTGATAGTTTCCCGATCCAAGTTTAAGTTCAGAGTGAAAACTATCGCTGAGGAAAAAACTTCTTGGGATCAGTGACCAACTAGGTATTATTTATTTTTTTGAAATTTTGTAAACTAACTGGAATAGGACCTTTAGGTAAAGTAAGGGAGGAATTCCATTGTCACTTTTTCAAAACTGTAAAAATGTCGGTGAAATTGTACCACGACTAAGAAGTGTCACAAAATTAAAAAAGTTCTTCTTTTCAAGCTTGGAAAATAAGATTTCTTACTTGTAATAGCTTAAGTATAGCCAAAATCAAATAAGGTCCAGAAAGGTCAACACTCGATCTATTGTACAGTTATAATGGATCGAATTGTTGACCTTCCTGGTACCTGTTAATTCCAAAAGAAGAAAAGGCTAAAAGAAATTTCCGTTTAACCAAAAAAAAAAAAAGTTGAACTGTTGCTGTTTGAGAAGAAAATATTCTTCATCGAATAATATTTCATTATAAAAAGCAATAAGTTTTTCCGTCTTTTGATTGCAGGTAAACTTGTTTTTGTTGCTGAAATTTTGCAAAAGTAAAGATCATCAAATAATTCTTTCATCTAATAGCGGGTAAAGTTGGAAGAGAAAAAAAAATGGGTAAAACACGGGAAGAGATGATTTTGGGCATGTTTTGTTTGCGGACAAAATAATGAAGTAATTAGAAAGGAGTAGATAAATAAATTACATAATGATTCGCTAATGATTACTTAATATTAATGAATAAGAGGAGTAAGATTCGCAAAAGAATACTTGATCATCTGTTAAGAACCAGTTTCATTACTAAGTAATATCAGTATTTGTTATGACTGAAGGACCTTGGGAAAAGAGTAAGTGATGAAGCATTGGACAAAAATACTATTTATTTATTTTTTCTTTTACGACAAGTTTTTTTTTCGTGCAATTTCCTACCAATTATTTTCTCTTATTTTTTTTTTACTTTCAATTTTATTTCAACAAATTATTAGAATCCGAAAATCTTAACAACTTGAAAAGTTGAAAGTTTGAAAGTAAAGTAATTTCAATTATATTTAATATATTCATATTTATTATTTCTAACTGATCCATTTCCACACCCACTTACTTTTACAAACATTCAACTAAAGCTAAGTATAAGTTTATCGTTGTCTCACTTATTTAATGATAATATCATTCATGTACTGGTCCAGTACTGTGGATGACCTCAGTTTAATCTTTTCTCATTTATGGAAGGAATTATTACTGGAGTGACATTCAAAAAAGTTAATCTCTCTTCTATGGCCATGATTACAATTTCTAGACTGTAATATTCAAGACTATAGAGGCTACAGTATATCAGATTGGTTATCATCCTGCAATCTATCATCATTTTGATATGAAGCAATTTCGTCTTATCTTTTAACAGAATGATTGAATATGTAAGAGGCGGCGATGTTTATTTAAATGATAATTTGTAAAAATTTTCCATAATTTTGGCATAAACATATGTTTACACTTCCTTCAGCCAAAGGAAAATTATTTTCTCAATAATTATAATATTACTGTGAAGTAATGTTGCTTGTAAAAGGTATTTGAGGACTGGTTCTGTGCTTAATTATCCATCCCAACCATTATTGTCAAAATCTCACTGTTCCATTTTATCCGAAAATCCAACTCACTGTCACTCTTGTCCTTCTCTGTATATTATCTTCCAAAATTAACACAATCTCTCTCTCTCTCCCTCTCTCTTTCTCTCTCTCCAAATATTTATTTGCATATTTAATCGATTCTTTGCAAAAGTCATTCAGTTAAAGTTAAGTCTTCTTGGATGATCATTATTACTCTTTGTGTTGAAGAAAAACATGTTGGAGACATTGTAGGAGTGAAAGTTAAGCATTCAGCTTAGGGCTATTTATGGCTTTATTTATCATCTTTAAGCTAATCTATGATTTCTCTTTGGAGAATGATGAAACCTGATTATGAGTAGTCTCTTTAAGGTCTTGTTAGCCTTTTCAATCCGGATCGATCTCATAGCCTATTTCATCCTATTTATGGAAGAAAAGCTTAAGATGAAAAAGCACATATCCTTTTTATTTTTCTTTCTTTACATATCCTTATGGATTTATTAGACTAATTCTATCTGCTACTTTTATTTTCTTTTTTCTGTATTTTTTAAAAAGGAAACATCATCCTCTTTATGAGCTTATCAATTTGCATCTTATATGTTGATTGGTAAAAGCAGCAGATAGCTTTAGTTTAATAAATCCACAAGGATACCTAACTGATGAGTAAAAATTTATTCTCAACCAGAATTAAGTGATATCTGATGGATTCAGCGAATGAAATTGGAATCTTTCAACACTTTTCCCACACGACAATCATAGTTGACAAATTTCTGAAACTTCTGGTCACATCAAACTCTAACTAGCAGGTTTGCATTAACAAACTAACGTGACTTTTAGCTTCATTCTTACAAGAAATTCACTTATTACAATCTTTCTGATGTGAAAATCACGTTTGAGTTGACGTCTACACAAATGTCACATTTTTTCACGTATCGCTACGTGTTGTTCTGTAATACATATTATACGTTACACGTGAAATAAGTATATTTTGACCTCATGCGTAATATTATAATACATTTTCTTCATGTTTACCTTTCAATGCATTGTGAAATATATATATATATAAATCTTTATTCCAACAAAAACCTTATGCATGCATGCATGCATGCATTCTGCGTAATCTTGTTTACATATATTGCATTCAAATGCCCATACTGCATTTTAGTTACAAACCTCAATCATTCCTTATCTTATGCTAAAAATTTATTGCTATTTGTCTGTTCTGCAGTTAGCGCACAAATAAAAATGTTAACTTTTGCAAGTCTTACTGCCTCTGCTTGCAGTATGCTATTTGATGTCTAACAATTTAATTCAATCTTTGTAAAATTTTGTTTGAAATTATTGAAATCCGTTTATTTCTATTCATTAGAAAAATTTCAGTGACTTAAAATTTCCTTACAATATGTAATGAAGCATTCTTTTCCTCTCTTTAAGCTATTTTGTCACATTTAAATTTTGTTGAAAACTCCACTTTTCTCATTGAATGCATTTTAAAATTGATAGGGTAAAATTATCCAAGTTTTTTTCTCATAACTAATAAAATAAATCACCTTCACATGTGATTATGTCACCCATTGTATCATGTCACATTGGGACAACAGTTACGATAAGTAATGAATGAATGAGTTTTGGTTGTTCGTTTTCACCTATCATTCTTCTAACTGTTTGTCACCTTTGTGTCATCTGAGTTACTTTGTTTTCGATGTCATTCAGTGGGGGATAAACACTTCAAGTATTCAAAGTATTGCTGATGAAAATGGATATGATAATGTGATAACGAATGAGGAAAGTATTAAACACAGAGATAGTGAGAGAAGCAATGCTTACTTTATCAATTCTTCACTTTGATCTCATTTAATGTTTTGTTAATTTGTGGCATTATTATGGATGATATTTTAGAAAGCTTAAAGATTTATTAAAGTAATGCTAATGTCTAAACTAATTTAAATTGAAGATTTCATGGATAATTCAAATCTTAGATTTCTATTTAATTTTACTGATAAGATGAAAAGAATAAAATGCTTAAGTTAATGAATAAATTACTTCTCGCTATGTTTCACATTTATAAAAGTGTTTGCAATCATTTAATTCTCAATTTGTCTCATTTCTTTATCTCTTCTTAGACATAATTAAACTGATTTTTATTATTACAACAGTATACTTACATGGGTTATACTTTATCTTCACTATTATGCTAATAAAATTTTCCACTATATAATAAGGTTAAAGGTTATCAAATGTGATAGATACGGTAAAGGTTGTCAAGAATAATTTGCCGAATTTAAACAGTTATTACGAAAGGAATGAACTTTTTTTTTCCAATTTTACGAACTGTAAGAAAGTTATTCCATCTTCCTTGTCAATAGCATTGTGTAGTACTTTTTTTTTCTGACAATTATATCTTTTTCAACGATTACTAATTTATAAATAAGGAAATTACTTTAATTTGATGGTGTAATTCTTAATTGTCAGTTAGTTTCAGTTTTGTTCAAATTACAACTAATTGACATTTTGAGTATTTCATTGAACACATTAGTTGATTTTGTAAAATGTGTCGCATTGGTTTTTGTTTGTCACCATAATTTCCAAAGTTATTTAGCAAATATTTGTTATTTAGAAACGCTGGACAGGGTAAATCAGTTATTAATTGTGGACTTTTAGATGGTTTGTCAACCTTTTAAATCAGTAAATAAAATAAATTTTGCTGACGTTTGAAAATTAAATTAACCTTATAAATCAACGTAAAAAGCTAATAACGTGTATTTTATGCTAATTATATATCCTGATTATTGTGAAAGTATTCCTTTAATGATATAATTAAGTTAGTTTGTAATTGAATATTACTAATTGTAGCAGTAAATATTAGATAACACAATGCTTAAATTTTCTTTCCCTTCTTACGTGATGAAAATTTCATAAAACAGAAATATTCATTTTCCAACCTAGTTGACAATTTTTCTAATGTCATGTAAGTCGCATGTAATGCCAACATATTCTGTAACTAAAGCTTCATTGTTGAGAAAAGAACTCAAAAGTAATTTATAGATTTTTTTTGTCACTTCTTAATGTCATTTTTTATCAGTCCTCTGGCTCTGTCAGATAGTCATTGTGGAAATGTTACTTTTAATATGATTATTATCTGAAACTACAGATATATCTTTCAAGTCTCACTTTTCTTGAGATAAAGTATCTGGACTACCTTCCTACTCTTTTTCTTTTTTTTTTTTTTTTATTACTTATCCTTCAATAATAATTCTTATCCTCGCATTTTAAATTCCTGTAAATTCAACTTTTTCTGTCTCATTTTTATCTTACAATGACAATCAATAACCGAATATTGTCATATCAAGAAAAAATCTTTTTTTTTTTCTTTTCACCTACGACATCACATCTAATAATGCAATAGAATCATATTCGGAAATTATAACTAATTACAGGTTATAACGTCGATGAATTGATTGATTGATTCATTTATTTTTATGGAACTTTTTTCCCCTTATTGCCTCCTTTTGACCTCATTTATATTTCGAAAATTTGATATTAAATAAATTTTTTCTTTTTCTTGAAAATAATGGAAGAGAAGAATGAAATCTATGAGAGAAAATTTGAAAGAAAAAAAGGACATAGTTTTGTCAAATATTCATCAGTATTTTCAAACAGTTCTTTAATAAAAATGAAATTGCTAACTTGATTTAGCAGATCGTCATTGAAGATCATCACTGAATGAATCTTTTTAAAAATATTGAGAAGCTTAGAAGAACCAGTTTGTTGTTGAAGTTAAGGTAATGTATGAACAAACTACTTGTCATTACTTATTACTTTGTTTATATTGTTTTTGAAGCTATTGAAAGTGGTCTGATCCACTAATTTCTTTTTCTTAGTTACAGGGAAACAGAAGTAACTCGTTCTTTTCAAAAAGCAACAACTATAAATAGTGCCCAATTGGTCACAACTCGACCAAGGAGTAGCACAAGTGTTCTACAGAAGATGGCTATAGCTCTTGATAATCCTCGAAGATCTTACCACCAAATCTCTTCTCCACTCGGTACCAATATTAATATTACTAGTACTACTGCTACTACTACTGCCACAACAACAAATATTACTACTACTAATACTACTGCTACTACTACTGCTACTACTACTACTACTACTACCACTACTACCAATACTACTATTACTACTACTGCTATTAGCGCTGATCAACATTGTCGAAATGGAGCTAGCATCGGTGCTGATGATGATCCTGTAAGTGGTCCAGGCTTTCAGTTCTTTTCGGGGGTTAAAGATTAAGTTGTCAAGGTAGATGATCGGCGAAGTCTTAAAGTTGTACAATATCGGATATTATGTTTTTAGAGGCTTCATTAGGACATCTTTGTAGGTCTTCAAGTTGATCAGTTTATATACCGGGAAACGATAGAGTAGCGGATTGTTTTTAAATTACATATTGACAGGATATTGAATCGACTGTCGGTGAATCACTCAGCATGATTAGAAGAAGCTCACTTATTAAGGACAATTGTTGTTTTAAAAAAAAGTACTTCTATTTTGTCGGTATTTAACAGGAAACAGTACAACGGTTAAGTTTCGTGAGCTCATCAACCGGTTACAGTTCAGCTCGAAGCAGCTTGAGAAGTTCCGAAATAAGCGATGATACCGTCCATCCACTTAATGTCTCTGCCGGCAAAAAATTGCTAACGTCTGTTCCTTTCTTTTTTTAACAGTTTTTAAATTTATAATTTTGATAGCAACATTTTTTCGATCTTTCATCTTTGCAAATTTGTAATTGTATCTTTGGTGAATTTCCGGAAAATCGAAATAAGCTTAGATTTAAGTTTACAATAGTTTGAATATTTAATTGAATTTGGTTTAACTTTAATTGATCATTTTAGACAAGAGTCATCATTATCAGAAGTACGTCGTCTAAAACTATTCAACAGTGGTACAGTAACACAACTGGATCGGATTGCCATGGAGTTACTGGAAACGGAACGTTCTTATGTTAATGATCTTAATGATATCATACAGGTAGTTACACTTCTCTAACTTTTCCCTTTTAATTTAATTTATTTATGATGCAGATGGATTGCTTATCAATGATAATTTCAACTTCTCCTGTTTACAAAACTGCTTATCATATTAGTCATGCAGTAATATCTGTGCTGTCGTATCGAGTAATTTTGTTTCCAACAAATCATTCCTCGGTTAGCTTCCATTTCCTTAAGTTTTTCTCTTCCTTATTCATCTCCCTGTCCCCCTAGAATATATCGCTAATTAATTGGCTAATTACATCAAGCATCCTTCAGTGCACAAAAAACTGCGATGATTTTTAGCAATTGCTTGTTGAATTCAGTCACTAAAAATATTAAATTCTTGAAATAAAAGTAAATTAGGAAACTTTCGGAAGAGAGAGAGAGAGGAAGAGAGAAATGATGCAAAAATTTTGCGATGATATGACAAGTAAAAGTTGGGGTCATTGTTGAGAATCTACACGAGTTTCTTTTCTGCTAATTTAGTTCCTCTTGCTCTTCCTTTGACCTTTAACCCTTAATGCAAGTACACAGAATGTTAAAGTATGAAACGAGCCTTAGCATCATTATTAAAAATATAAACATATTATTTTTTATCCGACAAATGTTGATAATAGAGGGAAGATGACATAAGGATGTGGGAAAAATCGATTTCGCAAATATTCGAAATGAATTTTTGCGTTTTTTGAATAAATTGATAAAATGTATGAGAGAGTTTCAATTAATCATACATGCAGGGATATTTGAATTTTCTGGTGGATCATCGGGAGGAGTTCGAGATGACCGTGGATGACATTTCCAACACATTTGGTTGTATTGAACGTATCTTTTTGTTCAATAAAAAGTTGTACCACGATTTGGATGCTGCGCAACTGAGTGTCGTCTCAGTAAGCTTTTCAATTATTACCGTAGAATGGACATTGTCCACTTCTGCATTAATATTCTAATCACTTTAGCATTATTTCACTTCATTAGTACTTTATTTCAAAGTCTCTTATCATATAATTAGTTTTAAGTATGCTATATTTACATTGTGGTTAATTGGTAGTGAGTTAGTGCTGTGGTGCCGTAGCTCTTTGGTTCGACTTCATGCAATGGCATGAGTTCGGTTTGGCTGTGCTTATGATGACGATGCGACTAGGGCGGTCTTACGTATCTCGTGATGATGCGCAAATTGTGTACAATTGTATGCAACTGAAGCACAGATTATTGCTAGGCAAAGTGGAAATGTCCTATCAAATCATTCTCTTGTAATGACAGTTATGGTCCTAGAACTGATATGTCTGCTCTTGGATAAGCGAAGTTAATCAGTGGTGGTTATATTAGTGTGATTGATGACAGTTTTATTTTATCAAAAGTGCAACAATACAAAATTTTTAATAATTGTAATGAGTTTCGAATTAGTCTAACATTCATTCATTAAATTCTAATTTTGAATGAATAGGATGAAAGAGTACGGTAATGAATATTACAGATGGCAAAATGCTTATCAGATAATATGGATGGATTCAATGATTATGTCATATATTGTACCAAATATCAAATGTTGGCATTTTTCACTCAAATATTACAAAAATATTTCTATGTTGCGTTCAATATTTTAGACTAATTAAATTATTCGAGAAAATTTACAAATATTTACATAAATCTGTTTGAAAAATTTTTCATTTTCCCAACGATTTCAATTTGTTATAATTTGGAGGAATTTTAATTTATATAAACATAATTCGTTAAGATATATGTAAAAATTTCTTCAGAATGGTTGAAACGTTGTCTATTTTACTGAAAAATAAAAGAGTGGCGGAAACTTTGAAACTTCGACAAGCAGTCCTTGGACATTCTCTTCCTCTTAGTGCGTATCTGTTGAAGCCAGTACAACGAGTCCTCAAATATCATCTTTTCCTTGAAGTAACTTTTTAACTAATATCGATTTTTCTTCCTATTATATTTATTACTTAGTAAGAGATACTATAATTACTGCTTATTGGAAGTATAGAGGATTTGACCCAGAATACTGAATACCTAGTAGATTCATCTATTCAGTTAGAAAAAACAGTAATCTATTATCACGCAAAATAATGCTTCCAGAAGTCTTATAGGATAGATAGGGAGGAGAGTCTTCGTTGATTTGTATTCCTCCTCTAACTCGTGCATCAATTAAATTGACCATTTAAAAAACACTCGGCAACTACTTGTCCTCCGTTCGATTAGGTTTTTGATTGAAATTTTATTTTGCAGAATATCCTAAAAGCTTCAGCGGATTCAAAAACTCTGTCAGATGGTGATCGAGCTGTCATTTTACAAGCCCTTCATTGCATGACTTCACAAGCAGAGAAAATAAATGAAGAAAAGAAGCGTGTTGAGCATCTGGAACGTGTACGTGAGCTTCAGAATGCCCTGCACAAGTGGTGTATCGATGAGAAGGAGGACCTGTCAAAGTATGGCGATCTACTTTTGGAAGCAACTTTTAAGCTAGCTGGTGCCAAAACTAATCGACAATTATTTTTGTTTGAGGAAATGTTGTTAATTGTGAAGGAACGAAATGGTGCCTTAATTTGTAAGGATTATATTATGGTAAGTGATTACTTCATTGATAAGTGATAATGGTTAAATATACTTAGATACATATCAGAAACACGTTTTTTAAGCATTTTATTGACCGATACAGAATTACAGGACTGTTTTTATGTGATAAAAAAAAGGAAACGGAAAATAGTGATAAGATATTGCTATGAATCCTTCCTCAGAATATCAAGTATATCAGATTCAAGTGAAGTTTTTTAAGTGTTCAAGCTTGATGCTAAACGAATCAATATCTACTGATCCATTGGCATTTCAAGTGCTCTCCTACGATAATCCAAAGATCCATTACATCTTTCTCGTAAGTATTTTCTCACTTGTTTAAAAAATATTTAATGAACTTTGTTCTGAGATATCGTTTGGAATGTTTGAATTAATTTTCCTGCAAATTTGGCAATCAAACTTAAAATCTTCCACCATGATATTATTGCAATTTAGGCTTCCAGTATGGATCAAAAACGACATTGGATGAAGGAATTGAAACGAATGATGCTGGATCATTATGCAGTTCAAATACCGGAAAAGACGAAAATTTTGATGCTTAGTTTAAGTGATAATTGTTCGAAATCAGTTGGCTTGTCCAGTCAGCAAGGTTATGGAGTAATAATCGTTGTTCATATCTCAGACCTAAATGAAATATAGCTATTCAAAAGTTTTTAATTAATTAATAGAAAAGATCAATCATTCATCCCCACATTGACAGCTAAACGTTGACATGGAAATTTCAGGTTTTGCATTAAATGTGAAAAATAACAAGAAAGTACCGAAATATCTTGAAAAGCGACGAAAAAGTATTGATGTCAACCAAACATTCCGTCGGTCAAATGTTCGAAAACGTTCTGGCAGTAGAAATATTTTGAAAGCGGTAAGTTCTTTTATTTTTTACAAATCATCATTCATCATTTTTTCTGAAGCATTCATCCGGTAACATATGAGGTGATCTTGTGATAGTTTAATGTTTGTCCAAACTATCATTAAATAGAATATATTGAATTTATCCTGACGAAGATGAAGTTTTTGTGTGATTCTTTGCCAGGATCCGGTGCTAGTTGAAGTATCAATGATTTGATGCAAGTTTTTTACCGAATCTTTTTTTTCGGTAATTTAAAACATTAAACTTTAATTTTATGAGAATATCAACGAAGTAGTCAACTGTTTTTAGGAATATCGTAAGTGAAAATATGCCTTTTCAGTCATCAACGGGAAATCTTACGAAAGAAGTAGGAATGTATCAGGAAGGTGATGTTGCTTCGAAAAATGCCAATCATTTCTGCAGTTTTAGTAATAATAGCAAGGTACACCCAAGCACATGAATTGATTCCAACTGATATTATTAGATTCTTTGACAAACAGAGATTCAGTCCTCACGGATAGGATGTAGTAACGATACGCGGGTTCACCGTGAAAAGTATCAGTTGTATATTTTGGGAATCAGCTTCTAAGGCACGCTTTAGAAGCTAATGTATCGATCTTCAGTTTCTGTTAATAAAACCTTTCGCGATACTTTTCTCCTGCATATCCTTCCAAATTTTATTTTGAAAAAAAAGTCAATGATATTTCATTTTTTAAAGCCTTAACTTTTTCAGCCAACTACATCCACATCGATGGAGAACACCTGTGAACTTGATTGTTCCGAACTGTCGGGACGTTCAGCAGCTTTTCAGAACTTATTTTCAAAAAAGAAAAGTGGTGAAATAAACCGGAGAAAATCAAGCTGTGAGCGCAAAAATAGTCTTGCATCTCATTTACCGCCACCCATTTTAAAAGTATTCATTTATTTTCCTTCCATTGTTGACATTCGTATTGACGTAAATGTCCTTCTACTCAAAATATCTTAGCATTTGGAATTCTTTGAAGAAATTTTTTGCTTAAATCTCGACATTTTATGTTTTCATCATTTCATCGAAAAAAAAAGAAAAAACGTGAAAAATCGAAAGAATATTATCTGGAATTTACTCAGTTCTGGAATTTCAGAATTACCGAACAAAAAAGTCTTCGGATAGTATGTCAAATACTGTTAACAAACAGGATCGAAATTATTCACAGTATGAAAACAACAATCCCTTCAACAATTCTCTTTTTTTTTGCTTTCGTTTAATTAATTAGTAGAGAAAAATTCAAGTGTATTTTGATCTCCTGTTTGCATCTAAATTTTAATTATTTTTACTAGTAATTAAGTGGTTCCAATTTTTTCATCTCAATTTTTGATCGTAAAATTTTCTAAAGTGATTATATTTTAAAATTTATTTGCAATAAACTCTTTTGCAGGTGTCAATGCCTGATGGCAGATCCCATTACATCCTTGTATCCAGCATCTCAGTCCATCTGTCCACATCCAAGCTCTAGTTGCTGTGCACAGAAGCATTTCGATGATACGATGGCCATTTTATATGGAGTTAGTCCTTTAAAAATTTTCACATGTCAGCTTGCCTGAATTCGAACTTTGACCCTCTACAAGTTATAATTGAAAAAGTTGGGAGAACATGAAGCTGATGTTAAAAAAATGTCCGACAATCAAGATTCTCAGTTAAATTTTGAAATCATATTAGGAAATTTTTTTTCAGGAATTACAATTACTGATGAAAAATGCAGAAAATCTTCATAGTTTTGATGAAAGCAACAGGATAGATGGTAGGATGAACACTGGACTGCAAAGTGAAGCAACCAGTAGACTTGATGTCCATACTAATGAATATAAAGGTAAGCTTTCAAGTAGAACTTTCTTATACAAATAATGAAGAGTTACTGGTGGTGATTCTGTGGTGAATCGCGGGAATTGGCCGATGAACTATTAACGATACTGTATACATTTTTGAATATCACTCTAATATACTAGGGAAAATATTGTATATTAACCATAGTTGGAAAATAACAATATGCCAGTTTAATTATCCAATTTGAGCCAGCAATAGCACTAAGGCGTTTTAGTCGTACACAGGACGGTCATCTGCAAAGAAGCAATTTTGCAGTGACTTGTTTCATTGTCAACACAAACTTTTATTTATTGAATAAAATGTTGATTCTAATTTGGGACGATAACTTTTCCTTGTTTTGATTCTTCTGCTAGCTATCTGAATTAAAATCATTCAATCCAAATTTTTGTTTTGTGAAAATTTTCCAAATAATAAAAAGAGAATTTCATTGAAAGAAAGAGAAGACTAAACGTGCGCAGTTAATCAATGAATGAAGATTTCATAGCATTTCCGGTTTTGATCTATCACAGGGATATGTGCATTTTAACTATCAAAACTATAAAGTTATTCAGTATCCTTTGAGAATGCTTGCATGGGAAATCGCTATGCAGAGATCTCAGTACGGAATGAATGCACTGAAATTCAAAAAAAAAATTTAGGCCTGGATGACTTATCGGAAGAATTGAAGACACGTTCTCGTTCGCTGAGTAAATTTGATGAGGGAACTTTTTTCGGTGAGAAATACAGGATGGATGAGGATCTGAAAAAAAACTGTCTACCGTTTGCTACTGATTTATCGGCAAATTTGATGAACGAAACTACAGGTTGGCCAATCATTTCTCTAATTTCTGTTTTTAGTGGTTACTCTCGGAGCATTTATATCACCTGAGAGGTGAAATTTTTGAATCATAGCGACAAATTCAACTGCGAAAACATTTACCAAAAATATCTTCGTTAAGTAAAAACGAACATCAGAGATTCGAAGGTGATCAGATAACCACTCCAATTCTGACTATCAGCAATACTAGCTAGCATTCTATTGACCATTAATATGTCTTGATGAGTAGCTCCCGGAAAATGAAAGATTCCGAAAAAAACATACGATACTTGATTTAACTCAACACGGGCTGACAGGTAGTTGCCGATACCGAAACTTTTCTCTTCATTGTGGAGGGATTTGATGATTTTAGATGATTACTGATGAATGCTTCAGAGATCGGTTCCTGTGTTTAATTCTTTCATCACTTGCGCAGGAAAATGAAAGAGGAAATTAAGTTTTAGGAGAGGTTGGAGAAATTTTCTCGGGTCCGTTATAAAACTTTCTTGGATGATTCAGTTTTGTTGCAGCAATGGAGTACAGTACTTCTTGCGATCCTCCACTAGAATCAGAAGATGGTGATGAACCGACAAGTGTTATCTCCTGGATCGAATCACCACATATTAGTGAGAAGTAAGTTTTGGTATTTTTCGAAAACTGATCATGGCCTTCTGATGTCCTTTGGTTTTTGTAACATCGCTAAATTTAATTACTATATTCGATTGGATCAGTTTTTTAAAGTTCAAAATTGAAATAATGTTTAAGATTGCGTGGATCGACTTCATACCATAACGTTTATCATCGTCGACGCTCATCACGGGTAGCGGAACAAGTATGGAGACTGCGACATAAACACGCGCAAAATCATAATGACAATGAAAACAACACTAATAAGGTTTCTGATTATTCTATTTGTAACTTTTGATCTGAAGATTCCAGATAGCGAAAATAGAATCTAAAGGTTAAAGTTCAGATATGAGCAATTCAGTAGTTATCCATAGGTTGAATGTATTTTTGTAAGTCTGGAAGAAAGATTTCTTGTTCCATTTTACGACGCAGGAATCAATTCTCAAAATAGAATAGAAGTGAAATAAAATTTGCAGAAATTGTTGATTTCCTCGACAGCAAGAACAGAAATTTTACCCAAAGATACAATAATGAGGATATCGAAGCCATCGCAATCAATGGTACCAAATCATACTGTCAATGGAATCGATCATCGATACTGTGTTGCTAGGTTTTTTACTCTTTTTTCACCTTTAGATGAAACTATCAGTGGATAATACAATGAAGTTATTACCGTAATTTTTGCGTACAATTCAGACAACGTACCCCGCTTACGGTAGAACAATGTGCAGAGCTTGATGGAGAATTGGATGCGAATTTGGATGGCGTAAAAAAAGTGATTAAGCAACTAGAAAAGCCTAGACCACTAATTACATCATCACATCAACATGCCATTTAAATTTCAGTGTTTTAAACGTTCATCGCTTACTGCAGTATAACAATTCTGTGACTTTAATTTATTCGTAGAAAGCTCATTGGGAAGAATCAATAGCGCTAAGCTGTTTTGAAGTAATACTTTATTTTGATAACTCAATTAAACAGCACAATCAAATAAGCAAATATTTTCTAAATTTTATTGAATTTCATACTGTAGATCCATTTTGATTTCATTTAGACAAATAATTTGTTATACTTGTTAAAGCGATATACATATCTTACCACTTAATTTACTACTTAATGATTGAATTTTTGCAATACACTTCTTTTTGAATGAAATTTTAAATGATCCATAAGTTATTTGTAATTTTCATTTTCGAGAAATTTGTTTAACCAACTTTCTCTGACAATGTATATTCTTCCTCTCATTTACATATTTTTATGGCTTTCTGATAGAGCAAATGGATTAGATTCATTTGATTAATTGATGAATAATCTTTTCCCGAATAACTGAATTCATTTATTGCTATTTGTTATCATAGACCTGTGTTTTTCCTACTGCTCCAGACTTTTTACAAAATTTTAGGAAGAAATCGAGATGAGATTTGTTGAAATTTACACATACAGTTTTGAATTTTAGGTGAGTAAATTGGAAGTTACTTTCTTATATTGTTTAGAATTGTTTTCAGAATTGGGAAGTTAAAGTTTTATTGCAATCAGTTTGTTGCTTCCAACTTACTCCTTTTAATCACTATATATCAACTATTTGACCTCTTTTGAAAAGAATTTTTTGTATGAAATGAATTTATGACCTGTCATAATTTGTCAATCAGAAAATCCTTACCACTTTAATGTTTCCGATATTTATGAAATCCTTTTGTTCTATTCCTTTCTTTTTTAAATTTTTGTGGAAAAGAAAATTTGGCTTCAAAAATGTTAGTAAATGATTTTCTGAAAATCGAACTGCAACTTGGTCAAAATATTCACAAAGTTGCACTTTATTGCATTAATATTTGCTGGATATTTATTATCTTGTTTTCGTAAAAACTATACATTTCCTTATAAACTTCCTATACATCTTATCAAGGAACTGAGAGAATGAATATGTCACATTGTGATCTCTACAAATGCTCATCCATCTGGTTTACTGAATTAATCTATTTGTTAGAAGAATAAGAGGGAGAAGTTTTTCAATATGAAAGTTGAAAGTACACTTCAGTTATGCTTTTTCCGTTTCACTCAGGCGGATATATTCAGGATGCTTCGTCACAGTCCTCTCTCAGTCTAAATTAATCAAACATTTTAGTTTTTCATGATGAAAGTGCCTTATTCGATGTTCTTATTTTGATAGTTTTCTGTTTCTTTCTTATTTTTGTGTTATTATACTCAGTAGAAAAAATGTTTCCGGAAAATCGACTGGAGTAAGCTTACTTAATACCATTCTCACGTCATATCACATCACACTTCACGTGTTACACGTATGCACGTCAAATATTTAAGAAATGATTCCTGCCATTATGCAAATGAACAATAAATGAAACATAATCAAATATTCCATCTAATATTGGGCAAGAAATAAGATATTTGGAATTTTAAAAATGAACTCTCATCTTGAATCATTCAAACTTTAATCGAGCTTTTGTAATAACTGATGTTAATGGTTCCAAAACTGGACTAGGATTAGGTTACAAATCAGTGCCACGTATATGTAATGAAAATACATGGGAGTTCAAACATTGACTTCTTGAGTTATTAGTCGAGCTTTTGAAATGCTTGGCTCTAACTAATGTTAGTGGCTACTAAACTGGACTAGGATTAGGTTACAAAGCAATGGCATATTCACTGTTCGTAATCTTAGTCAGTAAACAAATCAATTTATATAATAAATGCATAGACTGCTGACCATTGGCTAGCAACTAATGACTCCGATATTGTTGTAAATAAGTTTCTGAATAGCACACATTAGTGTCCATTTGATAAGACAACGACCAGTTGGAATTATTAACAGTGAGGAGAGATAATACAGATAGATTTGTTATTTTGCAATTGGAAACGCTATGAAATTACGGAATTCCGGAATACATGATGAAAAAGCGAAAGGGAGAGAGAAAAAAGGGAGGGAGAGAGAGAGAGAGAGAGAGGAGGACGAAGG